TTTTACATTGTGCATACTATTTCTGCCTAATCATTCCATAGTTGTACCAGATGTTTACACTCTCTGTGAATACTGGACTTTTAATTCAGAGGCTGTGCTAACTGTTGTGGAATTCAATGATGATACAGCTTCTGTCGTCTTAATGACACAATTAAGGGACACTATTATTTCACTGTTGGAGTTGTAAACTGCAGTTGAACAAAAGCAGCACAAAGTTAAATTGCTCACATTATTCTTGGTAATATTATAACTGAAATGAAAATTTACATTAAAAGTAGCAACATAAAAAGAGACAGAAATGTGAGATCACAAAGCCAAACTTTTATGAAAAGAACATGATTGCCATAACGGCATAAACCTCATGCCCAGGCAAGTATGAAAAGGTTCATAGTGATTATCTCTAGATCACTGGGTGACTGAAGTCACAAAACAAACTTTGCCTGCCCAAGTTAGTTCTTCACAGAGGCAGGGTGATGTGACACTGGATTGTCTTCAGATGCCCCAGAAACATTTACTGGTTAACCCCAGTTTCCAATGCCCAGGAAAGTTTTATCACAGATATCTGATATTTGTTAGCATCCTGCCATCTCCTAAAGTGTAGCTGGATACCATTCTCCCTTCCTCTATCTGTGAGAAATCCCAAAGTGATTTCAGAATCTTCTTACTGGTCTACCCTGCATCATCTAGAGTCAATATAATCATGAGACGTAATTTCTGGTTCTTCACAAACCAAGAATTGAATTCCAGTCTGAAAGCAGAAAGAGTAATTTCTGGTTCTTCACAAACCAAGGATTGCATTTCAGTCTGAAAGCAAGAAAGAGCATCTAGTATCTCCTTGTTAATTACTTTGTGTAATTTGCTGCAAGTGGGTATAGTGATGGGGATTAGATAGATTCATGGAGGAAAGGTCCATCAATGGCTATTAGCCAAGTTTACTCAAGGCAACCTCCATATCCAGAGGTAGTAAAATGGTTTTATATTAGTGCCAGGATGTAACATTAGGGGCTGATGTCACACCAAGGATTTTCCACATTCCAGCAATCTGACTCATTTGTTCCCCACCACCACCACATTTCCACATGAAGTCATCTATTCCTGTGCAGACCATGAACAGCCTATTCCTTCCACAAATAACTCTCCTTAATTTTAAGTCTGTAAAAAAGGGGTGGGGTCTCAGGATGATGTCCCCTCAAGCAGTTTAGCACAATTGTAGGGCTTTGGTGAAGCACTAGTCAGTTATTATTTTCATTGTTGATGACTGCAAGGGGCCCATACCTGTGAGCAGTCACAGGAATTAGCATAATCAATTGCCAATGCCTCGGGCTGCCTTTTAGATGGGGGAGGGGGAGAGGTGTTTCCTGCAAATAGCTAGAGGTTGTTCTTGAAGTTTTTTAAAAAAGGTATCACATTATTTCTGTGCAGTATTACTTAAGGATATGGAGGTTTGTTTACAAAAAAAGAGAGGATTGCCTACACCTCAGCCTGCCTTTTAGATGAGGGGAGGTTGAAGGGATTATCAAGGGATCATCCAGAGACCCCTGTAAATATGTGAAGGTTTTTTTGGGGGGTGAGGGGTGAGAACTATTACATTTTTCTTATGCAGGAAACACAAACACTCCCAAACATATATCATTAAAACAATTAAAATATAGTTAAAAACAGAGTACATACAAAACAGATTAGAATACATATAAAATATAAAAGCATTGATTAGGAAGGAGAGATTGTTGATGATAAGCATCGAAATGACTTGTCACTCCAATAAATTGTCCCTTTTCCCTTTTGGGAAAGCTACCAAGGATCTTGTCTTGGTGCTTGGGGGGGTCAACAGTGGGATGGCTTCTGGTGTCCTGGCCCCACTGGTGGACCTCCTGATGGCACTGGTATTTCTAGCCACTGTGTGATACAGAGTGTTGGACTGGATGGGCCTTTGGCCTGATCCAACATTGGCATCTCTTATGTTCTTATGTTCTTATGAAATGCCAAAAGAAACAAAAAGTCTTCACCCACTGGCAGAAGATGGCAACAGAAGGGGACAGATTAATCTCCCTGGGGAGGAAGTACCAAAGTTTTGGTGCCATGACCAAAAAGATTCTCTCCTGCTTGCTGCCTGACTAATCTAAGGAGGCAGAAGCACTCAAAGCATTATCTGAAGATGACTATAGTGGTCAGGCAAGTTCATAAGGGATTAGGTTGTCTTTTAGGTATGTTGGGCTTTGGAAGTCAACAATTTCATACACATGCGGCACATCAGCAACCTGACCACCATGGAAAACCATCATAGTATAGAAGCAGCCAGAGATGTCATGGACTCTGTGTTTGTTGGCCCTTTGGGGCAACTGGTTGGCCATTCAGTGACCTAGGATGTTATACTAGATGGATCACTGAGCATTTCTTATGTTCCCCCATGGCAGGTACATACAAAGTGCTTAGAGCTTAGCAGGATAAGACATTCAAAGCATCTCACCCTTGCTGATTTAGATGACTGTATCACTATGCGAACTACTACTTGATTATCACACATGACCATCCTTTGGTTACTAATTGCATGCTACCTTTCTCTCCAATATAGACCAAAGACAAGCCTTCTCAGTGTCTGAATATATTTCAGCTTCCATACTAGCCAGATCAAAGACCATGCATTATTCCTGCCAAGAAACTACTTATATAACTTTAGATCACCCTTAAATCTTATGTAATGATGCAGAATCCCTCTCTCTAGGGTTACTGCATATAGCTAGGCCCAAAATCTTGACTAGGTACTACCAAATTGTGCATCAAATGCTTAGTTGCAGCATCTTTTGAGTGTAGTTTTCCCATTGTCTGAATTTTCCTAACTTTGATACATCATATCTCAGATTCAAATCCAGTGGCACCTTGAAGACCAACAGATTTTCCAGGGCATAAGCTTTCAAGAGTCAGAGCTTTGACGTCCAAAGGTATATACCCTGGAAATCTTGTTGGTTTTTAAGATGCTACTGGACTCAAATCTGCTGTTCAACTGCAGGCCAACATGGCTACCCACCTGATAGTATATCAAGTGTCCTTAGTCTGAGCATTCCCCAGCCTATTCATATGACCTACCCAGATATGGTAATGTGGTAACTGGCCCTTTGTCTTTTCCCATGCTAATGAATCCCTTATTGCTATCAGCATTTACCAACATTTTAAAGAACCCCTCCTAATTTGCAAGTTAAAAGTCAGATAGTAGCTGTCTCATGGTTAAACCAATGCTTTACCCTCCATTGCAAATACAATGCAAGCTTTTCAAACTCTGGACATTAAAAAGACTGATCCATTGGGAGCGTTTTGTCAAAATGCAGCTTCAGCAGATTGAAATGATCTAGATACAAGACAGACTTCATGTCATACTTGAAAAGAAGGCTCCTTCCCCCAGCCCACTCACAATAGAAATGGAAAGTTCATTGTGGCATACTTAACAAAACATGGCTGTGGATTATTAACCAGTGCCCCTTTAGAATAAGGAACATGATTATGCACCTAAATATTACAAGTACCTTCTTTAGCACCAGTCGGAAAATAAGCAGCATCAACACTGACAGTTCACAGTAGAGACAGAAGCATGATCCTCTCTCACAGCTTTCTCAGTTTACCTAACCACATGCTCAGTCCCATGTCACGGTGTGGACTCATGCTCTCATCACACTGGATACTCTTCACTCCTCACCAAGGTCCTCTCCCACTGCAGGCTCTTGCTGTGATAAGCTAGGAGGCCCCAGACATCTTCTGTCCATGTCACAGTCTTCATGACTGATAACAGTGTAGACAAAGACATCCAATGCATTTTCTTTGTTTTTACTTTCTGCATCCATTTTTTACATATCTTCATAAGTAATTTGGGCGGCTAGACTCAGAGAAGAATGATCTCAGTGAGCTTCATAGCTGAGTTAGAATCTGGATCCAAATCTCTTTAGCATCCCAGTCAAGATTTGATTTGTACAATAGCTATTTTATGATACCTGATATCTGTGCTTTTCGCCCTGACCTGGATGGTGCAGGCTAGCTGAATCTCATCAATCTCAGAACCTAAGTCGGATCAGCCCCTGGTTAGTACTTGGATGGGAGACAACCACGGAAGTCCAGGGTTGCTACACAGAGGCAGGCCAATGGCAAACCACCTCTGTATGTGTCTCTGGCCTTGAAATCCTTACGGGGCTCACCATAGGTCAGCTGTGACTTGACGGCACTTTCCACCACCACCATATTTTCCAGGATACACTGCTTTATATTTTTCATCTTAAGATGTTACCTGTGACACAATTAACTCTCTCTTACAGTTTAGCTAACTTTCCCCTTACCGCTTTTTTAAAAAGATCACCTTACTATCCTTATACTGCCTCTAGTGTGAATGGATCATTTATAAATGTCACCCCCTTATTAATTTACATTGTGTATGGGTGTGTGGGTGTGTAACTTTAGAAGTCATATTAATGAGAATATATATAAATAGCAAATATAACTGCTATTATTATCACCAGTGTTTTGGTAAAGAACAATCTGTGTTAAATAATTTTAAGCAATTGGAAAAATAAGTATAAATTTATAGCAATTAGTATACGCCTTCTTGATATCAGACATAATGGGTACTGTTCCTTCAAGCAAAGGGTTAGCCATTAGAGAAGACAATCTTCCAGTGCCCATTAGTTCAAATTTAAAATAGTGATGCACTACACACCTGTTAGAAGCCTTGGGTTTTTGCCTAGAGATCTCTCCTGCCTGCATGGGTCCCTTTCCAACTCAATGGCTACAGGCATGAAGTCCCTTCAAAAGAACGCCAGTTAGCTTTTGAAGAGAGACACCTGGAGTTAGTCTCCCAGGCTTTCCCCCCTGACAAACAGTTGATCAATGTGATATTCAGTTTTTTTCAAAGTGTTCTATGTGTACAGACCTGGCTGTTCCTCACACATTCCCTTTGTTTCGGACAATGATCTGTTCTGATCAAGACACTTGGAATAATTTACTTTCATTTCCTTCAGCAGCAGCAACAGAAGAACCAGAGGTCATTCCAGACCCAGCCAAGCAAACAGACCGTGTTGTGAAAATAGCAGGAATAAGTGCTGGAATTCTAGTCTTTATTCTCCTCCTCCTCCTGGTCATATTGATTGTCAAAAAAAGGTAAGTGTTTTAGATTTGACACTTAATTTTTTTTCCAATCTTGTCAAGTAATCAAAAATAAATTATTTCACAGATCATTTCAGAAAAATGTTAGGGGCAAGTCTTATTCCGAATTACGAGGCCTGTGGCCAGTAAGTCATATTGTCGATAGTGTTGCCAACCTCGTGGTGGGGCCTAGAGTCCTCCTGTAAGTACAAGTGAACTCCCAGACTTCAGAGATCAACTTCCCTGGAGAGAGTGGCAGCTTTGGAGGGTCGACTCTATAGCCTCACGTCCCTGCTGCATTCCCTCCCCTCCCCAGACTCCATCCTTCCCCGGGTCCAAGTCTCAAGGAATTTCTCAACCCAGAGTTGACAACCCTACTTGCACACTGGGTAACCAGTACAATACTGTAAAATCCTAATTGTGTATTTTGAGTACAAGGCTGTGAAAACTATATAGGCATGGACAACACATTTATGTAATTGAAATAATATTAGTTTACTACCCCATCTGTTTTGTAAGGCTTAAGACAATCTTTCTGCTTTAAAGAGCCTTAATGATCTGTAGCCATACAGTATCTGGAAAAATATGTTATGGATTTTGTTGCCTTCATCTCCATCTTTGACAATATTAGAAAACTATATTTAAAATCACATTACATCACCATAAATATTCCATATGTATGGAAATCTGAAATGTTTCAACAATGTATTAACTGATACCTGAACAACAATCTTTTTTTTTAGTTGCTGTAGATTTTCCGGGATCTTTTTTTCCCTTAGACATTTCCTCAGGCCTGACAAAAATCAATAGCGCCATCTTCTGGAATAGTAGAGAATAATTTTAAGCACACTGAACTACTTAAGTGTTGTTTTAATAACATTTCACTTACAAATATCATTACTTTTTAAAATTTGGCATAGACTTTCGTAAATCAGCATTTAAAAACTGAGCATCAAACAACTAATTAAAAAACTTTCAGTCATCCTGCATCTTTTCCTTCCACCTTTCAGTCCCTTCTGATGCACAAACTAGGTTGATTTTAGGACTGTTTGGGCATATGAAGCTGCTTATACTGTGTCAATCCCGCTAGCTGTATAATGTCTACTCAAATCAGCAGTGGTTCTCCAGGATCTCAGGCAGAGATCTTTTTAAGCCCTGCCAGCTATGCTTCTTTAATTGGAAATGCCAGGGATTAAACTTGAGGCTCTACACATGAATCCAAGTACATTCTCAATCACTGAGCTGTTGTCTTCAAAGTTTTGTGTATTCCAGGGTGTTTTTAAAAAAAGAAATCTAGAAAATAAGGATATATTTGTTAACTGTCTTTTGTTAAAATGAAATTATTTTTCTTTTCATTTAGCCAAGTTAGAAACACATTACTGTTGTGCCTGAAAGTCATATCTCTGTCTTAATGGTTTCCATTAGAACTTTTTTTTTAATTTATTGCCTCTTTACAATTACCCCCTGGAGATATATAACTTGGAGAAGAAACGTCTGCATTAGAAATATTAGGTATGCTTACAGTGTTTTGTGTTAGTTAGCTACATATGTGATTTTTTTCCCCAACAGTGTTTTCACTTTTTTTTCTTGTTTGTGTACCTCTGTGCTTGAGAATAAAACATACATGCAATAGGCTAATTCATATTGAAATTACATTAAGTCCAACTGAATTAGAAATCTAAGCAAATTGAGGTGCAGAACAGGCTTCCCAGCTGGATCACCTTACATCTAAACATAAATACATCATTCAGATTACAAGGATACTTCACTGGGAAAGTCCTGTAGTATTTATATATTTCCATTTAGCATACAGTTGTCTCCTGCTTTTTGACGCTTACCTGCTTTGCCATCATATATTGTAAGGGCTGGGTCTTCCATTACCATCTGTGTGCATGGTAATGTGCCTATAACTATATTGACTACATTTATAGTCCCTAGATTCTTCTTTTTCTTCCCCTAAACATCCCCCATGTCCCTCATACTTTAGAAACAAGCATTAAAGGAATGGTTATTTATATAACGAGTAGGGGAAGATGAAACATTAACATGTGAACCAAAAGTATATTTTTACAGGCTGTTGCTATATAAAAAATGGGCTATGCTTACAAGACCGCCCAGATCTTGTGCCTGAATGTACCAGAGTACTGAAGAATTTCAGAAGTTATCCATCAAAAGTTTGTTAGGAGAAACCTCAAATGTACTACATGGAACCCTACTTGCCTTTAACAGGGGTTTATTGGTGACAGTAATTTCCTGTCTCCTGGTTCCCTCACCCCTTTTTTGAATGTTCAAGCTTTTCATGGTTGGTGGCTACAATACAGAATAAGGATACTGCAACAAAAGTCTAGCATAACCTGGACTTGCTCCAGATCAGCATTTCATATTTAACCTTATTTGTATGATATTTTCAGAACTATGTGTCACCTCTCACCTAGTTTGTCACCTCATGAATGAGTTCTGTGTCTCTGTTCTTTCTGTACGTCTTGAGCCATGCATAAAGCATAGACAAAATTTCTATTGTACAATGTTAATTTATGTAAAAAGGCAGCAGATATATCTTACCTGTATATTGAATTTACCATGTCATTCTCATCCTTTCCTGAAATTGTCTCTAGGGCAGTGAAGAAGGAGCTGCATGTAAATCTTCCACCTCCAAATTCATTGAAGTGAATTCAGATCTATCTAGTATTTAATCCACAGTGTTCCTTCCACTGATTTAGTAACAAAAATTTCACTTGCTTGATAAATTAGCCATATCAGTATGCAACCTGTTACACCAAAGCCTGAAACCACCAGTAGCTGTCGCAAAGGATATCTTGTAATTTAGCCCAAATGCACAATATGTTAGACTTGTATCCTATTCCATATTAAAAATTAATCCAGTTGAAATGTTAGTTATTGGTATTTTTCATGATGATAGGTTAGTTGGTTATCCCTTATATGTAACATGTAATTCCTTTCACATATTTTATACCTACACCAAACATGGACAATTTGAATAAAGTCATTTAGGATATCCTAAATAGTAAATAGGCTACCCTTTAATACTAAAAACATACTTAAGAGCCAAATGTACAACTATGTTGAAATAACTGAATTAAAAATTATGTAAAACACGCTGATATGACACATGCTACATTACACTATCATGTTTGCCTGTTGGGTCTGCCTGTTAACAATTCTTCAGATTCTCTTGTCAGCAGTCAGAGAAAGCTGGAAGGGATCGTGCAGGGAAGGAGGAGCCACCAACTCATCCATTACTTATCTTTAGTTACTTGTTTCCTTTCCCAGACTTCCCCCTTCCATCTCTGTTCACATGTTGCAATGGACACATATGCAACCTGCATGTGCATTAATAAACCTGTTGTAAGAAACAGCCAGTAGCTATTCACTTTATAAGTGAAACCAGGGACTACTTCCTGGATAAATGTGGTGTTTAAATCACCTAGTCAACCGCACATGTTAGGGTTGCCAGGTCCCCTCGCTGCTCTGAGGGGGAGGTTGGGGGTGCTCCGAGGGGTGGGCAGGGATGTCACATGATGTCCCCGATGTGATGACGTCACTTGGAAGTGACGTCATCATGTCAGGGATGCTCTGGTTTTTGGGCAAACTGTGGTAAAATTGGGCTTAAACCATAGAGTTTGCCCAAAAACCAGAGTGCCCCCCGCACTACATTCCAGGTGTCATCCTTGTGTCAGGGATGTTGTGTGGTGATGTCCCTGTTTAGGGGCAGGGTTTCCCCTGCTAGCTACCTGGTCCACAGCAGGGAGAAGCCCCCAAAACTGGGGAATCCCCCACTAGGACCTGGGGGTTGGCAACCCTAGCACATGTGTTAGGATTACCAGCTCCAGGTTGGGAAATTCCTGGAGATTTGGGAGTGGAGGCAAGGCAGGGTATGAGGAGAGAAGGTCCCTCAATGGAGTATAATGCCATACAGTCCATCCTCCAATGCAGCCACTGAACTGAGCTTTGTTGTCTGGAGGTTAGTTGTAATTCTGGGAGATATTTAGGCTCCACCTGGAACTTGGCAGCCCTAACATGCACTGAATTGTAAATGTGTTCACTTTAACTTGTGAACAGAACTGTGATGGGCAAATAGAGATAAATATAGATGGAGAATGAGTCACCTATCAACCTTATCCTTCACTGATTGTTCAACTACAATCCTTCATAGTTTTTCCCCCCCTCTCAGCATGAGTATCTGCAACATTCCTAACAGGCATATCTAGTTTGTTCTCATATGATAATATGTACCCTGGCTCTCAGCATGCATCAAAATTGGAACTTGCCACTGCCTAAAGCCAAATTCAGTGGGATAGAATTTATTTCACTGCAAGTCTGTGGCCTTAATTGGGGTTAGGGTTCTAAATTAATCTCTCTGTCTGTGAATTAGGGAAATTTGTTGTTGCTCTTTTTCTTACATGAAGAATTTTCTCTCATGCTTTCCCCAGCATGTAAACCTAACTGAATTACGTTGAAGATTGAAATTTTAATTTTAAATGCGTAGTATACTTCTAGGTGCTACATAAATAATGATTGGTAATCATTTTTATACATACATATTGATGACTCCATTATGTGGTATCCCTTTTGATACTCTCAAGCCTTGATAACATTTTTAGAAAGACCAGAAAGCCATTATTATGCATTGACACAGATTTCCAAATTTGATTTGGGGGTGGGAGGGATCAGAGTGGTAAGCAGCTTTGTATGATTTGCATGATAGGCACATACAAAAGTGGTATCCTATGCTTGGCCTGATCGTTTTGTACAAACTAGTTTGAAGCTGACGTGGATGAAACTCTATTAGCTGTTATAGAGTTTTGCAAAGTAATTGAACTAGATAAGAAAAGGGATACTGCATCTCTTGAATAGCAAATGCTGCTTTTATTTTTAACCATTATTGAAATATTTCCAAATGTACATCATTTCCTTCCATTTGTTTACTTTCCATATTTTTAATGATAAGCATGCATATATCAGCATTTCCAGTTCTAAGATTCAAAAACAAAAAAATTAGGTTTGGATTCAGCAGCTGTGTGTGTAAACATAGGTGCCGTATACACACACACCTGCTGTAGTGAGTACAAGATTTGATATGTATACAGGATGCTGCCAGTCATGCTTACACCTGTATACCAAAGTAGCCACCCTAGTTGCTGTTTACTAACTGAGCTCTTCCAAGACAAACTTTTGTGTTCGTAGCTCAAAGCTTTAAAAAAAAGATTGAGAGCACAAGACCTGTACACAGTTGTTCTTTATGTCATGACATTTAGGTCGTTCTCAGTCATTACATTTATGCTGAACTGCATGTTGAAAATACATAAGCCCATTTAATTTCCAGTTTTTTGCAACAAATGATGTGTCAGCATGTCATTTTTCTTGTGATCTCCTTCTAATACCGAAATCATTTTTCTATGCTAGTGTATTTTTTAATTGCATGGCGCTGTAAGGCTAATCAGTGCATGAGCAAGTTGTAATGCTAACCAAGAAAACATGAATTTTTAGTTTTTTTTTTAAACGCACATTTCTCTGCTTTACTGAATGTGACAGAGTCACGCTTTTCATTCACCATTGCTTCTCTTTTTCCACTGTCTGTGATTTGCTTGCCAGGAGGAGCTACTATTCTTACTCCTACTATCTGTAAGTAGAAACAGGTGACTTACTACTTTACATGTTTTGAAGATGCAGTATCCCTTTTCAAAAAAAAGAATGAAAAAAGTATTTTACTGAACATTTCCATATTTTTGATGGTTTTTAGGGAGCTTAACATTCTATTGTGGTTTTTGCTTTTATTTTTAAAGGGATATTGTATTCTAATTGGATTGATTTTTTTTATTTTTACATATATTTTTATATCACCCCGTTTTAATTTGTATTCTAAAATCAAGTCTGGCTTTCCTTCTAAAAAGGCACTGACTGTAGCATTTAATCCATGTTAATAAACAAGAAATGAGCAGGCTTAGTCCTACCATGTGACAGGGTGGAGCCCTGTCCTCTGTGGCAGTGGATTAGGTATAGGAGTTAAATTGAAAGGGAACCTACACCTCTTCCTAAGAATGAAGGTAGCAACTGGCTTAGTTTTGTGTTTTGTTTGTTTGTTTGGTGATAAGATCAGACTCCACCTTCTTCATGATGTGCCTGGGTTCCTATCTTAGATAAAATGGAAGCAGCACTGATCACTTACTTTTTGCAACAACAGAGGTGTGCCTGTTTACTCCTTTCTTGGGAGCCCTGTGTGCAGTGAGAGGATTGGTATCCTCCCTTGAATGTTTCAGAGGACAGGATGTTTTAATTCTACGTGCTCTGCTCCTGAGAAGGGAGGAAATGGCCTTTTCAACTTCCTGTTTCTGCAACACACTGTGTTTACTCTTCCATACCAAAAGAGAGAGAACATTGGCAGATGGCTTTCTTGCCCTACAGTAAAAAGGCATGAGCCCTGAAGAAAGCTATTATAAAAATGCTGAATTGTTTTTAGAATACATCCTACCTTACATAAAGATCCAGATAGTTATTTCTCTATCATATTAAATTCCCAGTCTCTGTACCACATTATGTGACCAAGAATGAATGTGCTCCTCCTAGAAATTCCTTGAGCCTCACCCTTGTGCAAGAAATTTATTGGCCTCATGTTTCTAACTCCTGCAGTAGAACTTGAGCCTTTCTGTGGAAATGAAGGTGTGATTGGATTTATTGACTAAGAGAAGCTGAGGCATGACTCCTTCACTGGGACATATCATTGCTACCAGCAGGGCAGGGGCAGTGGGAAGAAGACCCACGACCAGCCACGGCAGCACCCTTTGCCAGCCCAACACCATCATTTGGGCATTACCTGTTGGCTAGGAGCATGGCGCGAGGGGAGGATGTCATACACAGGGAAAATACGGTTCCATCTGCTCAACTGTGGCCAAATTAATGGGGGCTGACATCAGCCTCTTTCTTCAAATGCCTGGATATTAAACTTTCTTATCTCTTGTTGGGAAAAACATTGGTAGTGGTTGAGAGAACATCCAGACTGTAATTTTGTGTGTGTGTGTGCGCACGCGCGCTTGGAACATGAACAATTTGTATCAGCCATAATTACATGGGCAATGGTAAGCTACACGATCAAAACAAATTGTAACATAATACATGTATTGGCCTGGGTTAAGTAGAGTTTCACTTCAACAGAACTGAATCAGTAATGGTTGTTGGTAGGAAGGGCCATCAAGTCACAGCTGACTTATGGTGGGCCCACAGGGTTTTCAAGGCAAGAGACAAAAAGAGGAGGTTTTCCATTGCCTGCCTCTGCGTAGCAACCCTAGACTTTCTTGGTGGTCTCACATCCAAGTGCTAACCAGGGCTAACCCTGCTTAGCTTTTGAGATCTGAGCAAATCAGGCTAGCTTGGCCCATCCACGTCAGAGATTAGCAATGATTGTCTAAACAGCAATATTTTCTTCTTTTACCTTTTCATTTAGAACTACTAACAAAGCTGTTGTAAACTGTCTTGGCTTATGATGAATTGCAATTCCCTTGTTAAGCAACAATTAGTGCAGCCAGAAGTAATTAAAGCAAGCAAGCAGTTTCATAAATGTGTAGAACATCTCTCCCTCATTCCCCTTTCCACCTCACCCGAGCGCTTCCTTGAAGAGCCAGCTGCATAGGCTTATGCAGGTGAATCCTTTGATGGATAATGATGACCATCTATACCTGTCATCTTCTGATACAAATTGCGTACCTACCTAAAAAACAGATTGAATATGCTGTGTTGGAGTTTCAAAGCGGCAAGGAACTGATTGAAATGGGAGAGAGAGAGCGGTATTGTTACATTGAAAAACAGTCCTGATAAATTAAACTCCCACAAGGAAGTACCTATCAACACTGTATTTGCTGCTGTACTTTTAGTTTTCTAGCTATCTTTGCTAATTGAAGTAATGTGCAGGAGTGCTCCTTAAATCTGCTTTCTATAGATTATAACACCACAACAAGCCCTTTTCAAAGCAAGTAACCTTCACAGTTAAGTACCTACTGTGCAATTTTAATACAAGTGCTTTTGCCTTTTTTTAAACCTTGCCTTACCTAGAAACCTGGTTACAGTCTTTACTCTGTGTGAATACCAGAACACCACTTAAAATTCTGGATGATTTTTATGCAGTATTGTAAAAGTGGGTTTAGTGAAATAAAGAGACGGGACTAGTTAGTTTATTATCCCTTGGTTCTTTCCTTTCCTACCTTCCCTGAGGTGTCTTTAAGATTAGAAGCAATATAAATGAGAGATGAATTGTATAGAAAATAGGTAAAATGATCTAGTGGTAGGGAAAAAGAAGTCATCGGTACTATTAATGCCTTGTACACTGTGACAGGATTGAAGAGCAGTAATAAATTTGTATTTTAAGTTCGTGTCATTCCATTTTATTATACTCAAAAAGTTCTTGACAGCTAAAACTCTAAATAAAGTGACTTATAATTGTTAGGTAAAACATACACTAAGAAACAGGTAAACAGGTTCATTGAGGACAGGTGACCCCTGCATGGTGCCTGTGGATGCCATGGTCCCACCAACACCTTTACTGGTGCCAGATTTGCCAGCCCCAGTGCTTGCTCAGAGCAGCAGCAGAAGAAGAAAATGTTTAATGGCCTTTGGGCCAACTTCTGTACGAATTGCTGGAAACTCAGTGGCTTTACCATAGCGTGTCTGGCAATTCCTAAGGAGATATGGCATCACCTCTGGGTTTTCCCGGAAGTGACAACATGCTGGTGCCTATAACCATCCCCCACCCATGTCTTGGTTGCCAGGATCTACCTGGTGTCCACCAGATGTTTGTAGAAAGTGGCTATAGGGTTGCCTTCCCCAAGTTGGGGCAGGGCTTCTCCTGCTTTTGTGGCTCCTGCCCGCTGCCAGCCACCTGGCCGGCAGGGGAAGCCCCACCCCCAACAGTGTCAATGGTGGCTGCCCCTCTCCATCCCCTGCTGAGAGATTTAAAGGGACCTCCAGATGATCGTGGGATTGGGTGGGGTATAAATTAAATAGATTATGATGATTGGCAGGAGCCTGCTGATCAGCTGGAGGACCCTTTAAATCTCTCAGAAGGGGAGGGGGAGGGACGGCTGCCAGTCCCAGGAAGCAGCCACCACATGCCTGAGCTCCAAGCGGCAAATTCACTGCTTTAGAGTTCAGGCGCATGGCACTTTCTTACAAAAAACATTTAAAGGGAAGGTTCCCTTTAAATGTTTTTTTACAAGTGGGAGCTGCTGACACCTGAACTGCAAGTGATGAATTCACATCTCTGGAGTTGAGGCGCACAGCGCCCACTTGTAAAAAACCATTTAATGAGAAGGCTCCCTTTAAATTATTTTTGGCAAGCGGGCGCCATGTGCCTGAACTCCAGAGTTGCAGATTTGCTGCTTGGAGTTCATGTGTAGACAGCCCCCACTTGCAAAAAGCCATTTAAAGGGAAACTTCCCTTTAAATTGTTTTTTCAAGCTGGGGCCACCCACACCTAAACTCCCAAGTGGTAAATTCACCACTTGCAGTTCACACATGCACAGTCCCAGCTTCCCGGACACGATGATGTCTCTTCCATATGATGTCATCATGTCGGGAAGTCCCCTCCCCCTCCTGAAAGGCCCCCAAATCCCCCCACCATGAAGATTCAACCTGGCAACCCTAAGTGGATGGGACCACATGGGGCTGTTGCCCAGCTGGGCTGCTTCTTCCTGTGGCAGCCATTTTGTGGTTGCACCTACCATCCTGTGTCAGAATTTCAAAGATGCCCACAGGATTAGAAAAATTTGGGATCCCTAATTTGTGATCCACAAATCCTTGAATACTGACAGGTACCACCACAGAATTTATTTCATGCCATGTATTTAAACACATAGCAAGGGGGTGGGTATTGCTTGTAAGGTATCTGGAACAAGTTTTAACCCCCCCCCCTGCCCCCACACTTGGTCATTACCTTATTTACTCTATTCAGTCATCATAAATTCAGTGCAGGACAAAGTTTCATGTAAAATTGATTAAAAGTAAACAAATATTGTTTATATTTATATTCTCTGTCATCTATTTCTTTAGAAAGCTCAGAGTGGCTGACACCGGATTTTCAGTGATCTCTCGTGTCAGACCCAGATCTGGACCATATCTGTTTAGCTTCAACAGTGCCCGTAGTATTATTAGATTAATAAAGTTTTGCCAGCTTCCTCCTGGAAAAAGAAAGAAAAGATTTCTCAGAAAGAGTAAGAGTGTTTGAAAAGGGGATGTGATCAGACTGAAAAGAAATATTTTACATTTGGCCAGTATTTCCCACACTGTTTTCCCCCTTTTGTTTTTCGTGTTTACAAGCTAAGACATCATTGTCAAATTTGCAGTATCACTCTACAGACCAGGTGTGTCATTAGGGGGAATTGTTCTTGAGTGTACCTATTTTGGGGACACCTTAGTTCCTCAGGTGATGAAGTTCTTTCCCTGGGGGAGAAAAAACGCCTTTGCTCTCTTCCTTTTGTCAACCCTTCTGGCCTATGCTGCTGATTACAAACAATAATTGTGCAACCAGTACTAGTTGTCACTACAGCTAGTATATTTGTATCTTGCAAGAATAGGCAGCTGATGTACTTATCTTAAAGGCTGTTTGTAATCTAGTGCCTAGGTTTATGTATTTTACTATGCAATCCTATGCAATCCTAAACCTAAATATTCAGGAGTAAATCCCATTAAGTTTAGTAGGACGTTTTAATAAATGTGCTTTGAATTGCAGCCCAAATCACTTTGAACAAACACAAGGTTAATATAGTATCTATGTTGAGCAGTTCTCAGGTTTGGGACCAGAATGCTCCCATATCTTGGTAGCAGTGTCTAGGTTTTCATAAACAAACAGAAAATAGTAGAAGAAAAATTCTGAACAAGTGTGGGACAAACTTGCTTCCTAGCTAACTAACATGCATTTAAGGTTTTAGGGCACACCCATTTCTCTAAGAGAGCATGTCTTCTGGGCAACGTCAAGGAATAGTTCCTTTCCCACATGGTAGAAAACATGATAATGTAGATATCTTAGCACATTTACAAAGTAAACATGTATTCGGTTTTTTTAATTGCACAATATTGATTACATGTTCATTTTAAAATTGCAGTTTTCCTTTATGTTGTAGCTATATCTGTTGCTAGGAATATGTTTAATATTTAGCTCATGTGCGCTTTATTAATATATTAGTATACAAACCTGTTATTGTTACACACGACATTATTGTGTAGAAATATACATTTGGTCTAGAAGCAGAAATATCAAAAATATACTATTGTGTACTCTCTCACACGACAGTGTAATGCAGGTGGCATTCTCAATAGCTTTCTTATATAGGAAATACTACCAATGTGTTTTCCAAACATTTAGCTACACAAAGGACAACATAAAGAAATTATTTCCATTTCAGGATAGGGCATGTTCCAGCCTTCATTATGTGTGCCCATTTCCCACTAAATGCCAGCCATCGATTAATCACTTGTGATGTGTACAGTTTAGCATTTGCCATGGGATAAGTGCCATGAGAGACTGGCTCATGCCTTAAGTTACTTTACTTGAAAGGGTTTGGTAGAGTCATGAATTAGAATTGTTCAGATTTAATGTCAAGCCATGTTTTGGTGCTGCAAGAATTAGATCTTTGGTTCCTCCCTTCACATAATCATAGTCAGCTGTTTTACACTGGAACAGTCAGTTATTGAAAAGGCTACTTAGTTTGCTGAAATATTGTTTTCTGATTAAGCAGAAAAATAGACATGCTAAAATGACAGTTCTTAATTGACTGCAGCTTCAGAAAGATGAAGAAGGATTGTGTGAACCCAGGGCTTGTTCACATAGTGCTAAAGCACAGTTTTGCATTAAGTCTGCATTATGAAAACAGCACAGAATTTTTTGTATGTCAAAATCAGTGGTAGCACATGTGAGAATTCCATTCTCTTTACCATTTATCATATATGCTATAAAGAAATTGATGAATGATCAGTGAGTATGAAAAGTAACCTTAATAGACAGAGAACTATGTACCTTTTGTTGCTGCTGTTTGTATACTTTTGGCAGCCTAAGCAGTAAAAGTGATAAATTTCTTCTCCACCAAAAGGATTCAAGAAATGAATTATCTGATGCCAAATTAAAATATAGATGAAACCTGGTATGATGGATATGATTACATGTGCAGGTGCTTATTTGTTAAAATGCAGGTTCTCTCCACCACCACCTCCAATTTGTATATTTTGCTGCAATAGGATAGAAAAACAATATTGGAGAAAAGAGTAGAAATTTGTAAATGAAAATATTTCTGTAGAATATACATAACAGCAGATAAAAATAATGATACAAGTGTAAGCTTTGTTCAGTTATATGAATAAACCTGTGCTGGCCACCACTAAGAGCAGCTTTAGATATTACAGCAGAGGCAGCCACCCAGCGACAACCAGGTGCATAGTGCACTACCAAGTACTGCAATCCCAAGCTCACTTACTTCAAAGTGACTCTTCCTGAAATTATTGTGAATTTATTTCTGATTAAATGGAGTTAGACTCCAGGCCCTGCACTCCTCAAGCTATACATTAATCTGAAGCTTATAATTTTTACCTCTTCGAACATCACAGAGGCATCACATCACTCGATAGTGCAAGTCATTTGCATATCTGTGTGACTGGATGCTGTAACATCTCAAGTCACCTCTAAATGTGACAGATTCATTCAGTTACCGTTCTTCAGTTGCTGTTTGTTACTGCTCACAACATAGCTTCTGATTTCAGATGACTTCTGATATCTTTCTTTCTTTTTTGTGTGTTTTTGGCTGGGCAGCAAACTTGCTAAGAAACGTAAAGATGCCATGGGAAACACGAGGCAAGAAATGACCCACATGGTGAATGCAATGGATAGGAGTTACGCAGATCAGAGCACCCTTCATGCAGAGGATCCTCTCTCGGTTACCTTTATGGACTCTCATAACTTCAGCCCCAGGTGTAAGTGGCAGAGTTGTTTTGTTGTTGCTGTTGTTTTGTTGGACAGGAGCTGTTATTCTCTCTATAATTTCTGTTCACTAGTTTTGTAAAGAAAATATTACTTTGTGAAGAGTTTGTCCAATAGGATGCACCCTTGTTAGGAAAAGTTGGGGTATATGTTCATCAGAGCACATGAAAGGTACAAACATTCCTAGTTGGACTCTTGTTGCAAGAGCTTACTCCACCCACCCACCCCAAAAGATGCTTGTCTTTGTCTGATGTTTTTAAGAGACAAAAGACAAGAAACACAAGAATATTTTTAAATAAATAGTGTGTAAATAAGCTATTATAAACTTAAATAAGCCATTAAAAGATATTATAACCCTGTAGCACAGTTGCAGTTAAATTTTTAAAAGGTTTGCCATGAACAGCAGGAAACTGCCCTAGCAGCAATCTTTGTCATAGAAAAGGTAGAGTTAGGTTTGTCAGTATGTTATCTTTTCTTTGGTGTGTCTAGAGCAGAAAACACACATTAATTATTTCAACATTAAACGCTTTGCAGATGGATTGATATGATCATTCTACATGCATATAGGTTGCAAGAACCATCTATATTTACCAGGAACATGAGTTTCAAAACCTGCACATTTATCCATACAGAACTTAGATTGTTATAGAAATCCAGTACTTTTTGGAGAGTTCTCATAGTGGGTTAATTTCACCAATGATATAATGAAGGGATAATTTTAAAACAGCAGATTCTTCTGCTCAGGTTGGCATATTAGGTTAGTGTGAGATGCATTCTGTTGGTGCAAGGCTTATCCCACCAAAAGATACATTGTCCACTGATGGAATACACCACCATTAGCTGAACAGGCTGGATGGATGCAACCCAGTGCTTGGTCATAGTACCTGTGGAGCCCCACATGGGTATTGCACGGGTCTACTGTGGAGAGATTTTTGAAGCTCAAAAAATGCTCAAGGGTACTCCGTTGTCCCCCTCCCTGCTGGTTCTGGCCTTTTCCAGCATGAGAAGGGGACTGAACACCCTTCCATCAGTTCCTCTCTGCCACTGCTGGACTGAGGTATAGTTGTTGGATTTAGTTAAGAGGTCACAGCAGTGCAGGAAGGAGGGGTTTATTTATTTACTAAAACATATCTCGCCTTTCCTCTTGGCTCAGAGCTGCTCACAATAATAATTAAAACATCCCCAGCTAAAACAAAAGATAAAATAACAAGCCCTAAATCCCCCCCCCAAAAAAAAAGATGCCTGCTGTTCAAACCACCTCAGATGCCCTGCCAAAGAGGCAGGCCTTGCAGTACAAACACAAACATGCAGAGAAGCCTCCCAAGTCAAAGTCGTTGTTCACTCCTACCCATCCTCATCCTAAAGACCATCCTACCTGCGGGACCGCCTCTCCCCATATGAGCCCGGGGAGGTACCTGTGGAGCCCCACATGGGTATTGCACGGGTCTACTGTGGAGAGATTTTTGAAGCTCAAAAAATGCTCAAGGGTACTCCGTTGTCCCCCTCCGTGCTGGTTCTGGCCTTTTCCAGCATGAGAAGGGGATTGAACACCCTTCCATCAGTTCCTCTCTGCCACTGCTGGACTGAGGTATAGTTGTTGGATTTAGTTAAGAGGTCACAGCAGTGCAGGAAGGAGGGGTTTATTTATTTACTAAAACATATCCCGCCTTTCCTCTTGGCTCAGAGCTGCTCACAATAATAATTAAAACATCCCCAGCTAAAACAAAAGATAAAATAACAAGCCCTAAATCCCCCCCCCAAAAAAAGATGCCTGCTGTTCAAACCACCTCAGATGCCCTGCCAAAGAGGCAGGCCTTGCAGTACAAACACAAACATGCAGAGAAGCCTCCCAAGTCAAAGTCGTTGTTCACTCCTACCCATCCTCATCCTAAAGACCATCCTACCTGCGGGACCGCCTCTCCCCATATGAGCCCGGGGAGCTTTACGCTCTTTCAATCAACACCTCCTGGTGACCCCAACCTGAGAGACGTCTGCTTAACCTCAACCAGGGTAAGGGCTTTTTCAGCCCTTGCCCCAACATGGTGGAACATGCTCACACCCTGAGGGACCTATTACAGTTCCGCAGGGCCTGTAAAGCAGAGCTGTTCCACCAGGCTTTTGGTTTGAGGCAGCAGACATTCAACCACTCTGGCCTCACCTATTCATGGCCCCTTCCTAGTGCCCTGCTGCTTAAATAACATTACTTGGGCACTGGAGCTTTTATTCACCTGATATGAGGCAAGGGTCCTTTCTGCTATTGTTTATTGAGCCATCTGTTGTTTTATTGGTTTTATCGCTTTTATTGTTTTATGAATCTTGTGTTGTAAGCTGCCCTGAGCCCACTTGTGGGATAGGGCGGGGTATAAATTAAGTAAATAATAATAACTCCTCACAAACCATTTTTGCAACCACTCAAGGAGACAGTCTCTGTTCCAAGAACACCCTCTCCATCGGGGCACTCACCATAGTTGTCCCCTTCTACCTCAATGCTTCTTCTTCCATTGGTTTCAAAATTGCCACTTATCAATGCATCATGGCCTGCTATGAATACCTTCTATGGGGTGGGATGGGATTGTTCCTTACCTGTTGACAAGCACAAACTGGCAAAACTCCTGTCCTTAGAGGTGTCAAAGCTGTCCAAACATCAAATCTCTTCAACAAAGCACTCCACTCACTGTGCAGCCTACACTACACTAACACTCATGGCTGAGGTCTGCCATGCTGCCCTAAGAAACCCACACCAGAACTGAAGACCTACCCTTCAAAGGCATGGATCTCTTCAGTGTCAACAACAGTAAGGCAAGGAAGCACAAACTTACTACTAAATCCTTAGGGGTGATTCCCTCTACACCTTCTGCTACTAGACCTAGGCCATACTAGAGACCATACTACCCTATATTCAGGGGAAGAGGTCAGAGGAAGAGGATCACCTTCATACTCCAACAGGCCTCCCTATATGTCTGCCCGTCAACCCCCTGTCCCACAAAGGAAAAGGTTCCCTTCTCTGAGGGGCAAAGCTAGATTTCACTTGCCAAACCCCACCAAACTGTGAGGCAGGGCTTTAGACAACTACGGCCCATGCCCAGCACTTTAGTCAACAGAGGAACTGAGCCCTCAGCAACTCACTTGGCAGGACACTTCTCAAGACCAGTGAGTGCTCAGCATCATGACAAACCAATATGCCATAAAGTTTGCCTCTCTTCCAGCCTAGTTACCCCAGTCATCCAACCCTCTTGTCCCCTCTCCAGAAATTTCTGCAGAGGTCAACACCCTCCTCAGCAAGAAAGCAATCATGACAGTGCAAGTAAAAGATCAACACTCAGGGTCCTAATCCAGATACTTTCTGGTCAAAAAGAAAAGGAGAGGGGAGTGAGACTCATCCTAAACCTGAATAAGTTTATGTTAATAAAAGTACGGAATGTTATCCATTCCTGATTTCCTTCCTCTGTTATGGCCAACTGTATGGTTTGTAACGCTAGAGTTGCTTGATACATATTTCCATGTAAAGATAAGACCGGTGCATCAAAAATATCACCGCTTCCAAAATTGTAGCAATGGTAGTAGCCTGCCTATGAAGGCTAGGGTGTAAGATATACCTGTACCTTGACAAGTGGCTGATTGTATTCGATACCAAGCCAAAACTCCAAAGCATCTCCCTTTACCAGAAGCCACACTCACCATGGATGCCTTTTTGTCAGGTTGGGGCACCCACATCAGGCAAGTGTTGGTTAGCAAGACATGGTCTACCCAAGAAGCACTCCAATGCATCTACGTGCTTGAACTCCAGGTCCTATACAGCAGTCTGTTAGCCCTGCACATCTACATGGTGGGCGAAAAGATCCAAATAGCCACAGAGAATCTCATGGCCATAAACAAACAGGGTGGTACCTCTTCACTCATGCTCTGTCATCTTTCTACACTAATATGGGAATGGTCATTTGCAATAATGCCACTATCCCGGACATTCACATAGGACCAACAACTGGTTAGTGGACTTCCTCAGCTGCACCCCCTAGTACCTCGCACTTGGCAAATCAACTGGGTTTTTTCTTGCCCTGATATTCAATCATTGGAGAGTGCCAACAATAGACTGACTTACTACCAGATGGAATTTAAAAAACACACATTCTTTTGTTCCCAAGGCACATGGAACCTGAATGCTCCGGGAGATGCTTTCCACATCCTGCTATTCACATTTCCCCACCACCACTATCCCCCAGGGCCCTTTACAAAATGAGACAGAAACACTCATTGTCTGTCTTAATAGCCTCTTTTCGGCTGAGACAAACATGGTTCTCAACACTGCTAGCTATATCCCTTAAGCGGTACATGTCCCTTCCCCAGGAATGCAGCCTTCTTCTACAGGGCTCCTTCCTGCACCCAAACATTGGCATCTTACATTTAGCAGTGTGGCTTATTCAATGACAAACTGCCAGATTTCTGAACATGTAAAAGAAGTTCTGCTTAATACTAGAAAACTGGCCACCTGGCCCTCTTATTCTTTCAGATGAAAGTATTTCTGTACATGGGCTAAGGATCAAAACTCAGAACCTGTCACATGTCCCATAAAAAGAGTCTTCAGATCTATATATCTAATTCCCAACTGTGCCCCTGTGTGCGGATACTTATTTCCAGAGACACGGAACACATGGAGGGAAAAGAGATTATCCTGTACTCGTGGGCCACTTGCTAGGTGTACAGAAAAATCTAAAAACTTTAAAAAACATAAGGGGGAGGTTAAAAACAGCCAAAAAGTAGAACAGTGTTAACAGCACCTGCGCAGAAAACATATGTACTAAGGCGGGAGAACGTGCTGGAGAGCCCTAGAGAAGCTGCCGCCGCCGTTTTGAACACCAGGAGAAGTAGTTGCTGCCACGAGGACAACTGCCATGGCTATACCCCCCCCAGCCAATGCTCTACATGCAAGACACCCTGGGAGCGGCCACTCGCTTCACCCTCTCCGCCGACTGATGCCTGCCGGCCTTTGCCTCACCCGGCGAGGGAAGGAAGGGAAGGTGTCTCAGC